GACTTTTTCTTCACAATGCTAAACGGATTAAGGTTTCAGTCCGTGGTCACAGAGCACAGTGAACTTAACCATGAACAGAAAAAAATATTATGAACACAGACAGGAGCCAGAGCATTCCAGTTCTGCCATTTTACTGCCTAACTGACTTCAGATATGTTTCTTTGCTTTTTCCAAGTCTCAGTTTCTTCTAGTGGAGGATGAAGATAATGGCTCTATCTCTTATTTTTATGGGGTTTGAATAATGTATAGTACAACTGTAACACCTGACTCACAGTGAGACCCAATAGTTGTTAGCTAGTATTATCACTGGGTAAGGAGCTAGATAAAGTTTTTAAAAACCTTTAAGATACATGGCTTTCCACCCCCATGAAGAGCCTCACCTGCAGTCCTTTCTATAGCAGAGTGAAGGCAAATGACAGAAAAGTGCTATTCCTAACTTGCCTCTGCTTCTATAACAGATAGCAAGTGTAATCACCCCAAATCAGAAGCTATTTTTGTTGCCAGTCTTTTCTCATTGCTGTCTCACAGTTCCAGTGTTGTTTTGGGAGTTTTAGACATGAGAACATTCAGAAATGCTAGTTGATTGTTGTCCTTTTAAAAAGACAAAAGTATCTACTATTGGGTCTAAAAAGAGTCTCAAAATCATCCCAAGTTTGGCTCCCAGCTCAGTGCCCTCCCACTCTGGCTATAGGAAACACTCAACAAATATCTCTTGACACTTGCCCAAACCTTTTATTTTGAAATGGAGGAAATAAAGACTCAAGTAAGTTGGCAAATTTCTGAGGTCAAGACTCTGGGTCACTGGCTGAACAGTCAGCAATGCACTCTACCACATATCTTCATCAAATATGCTTTGGCTCTCAAGAGACTCCAGGATAAACTATGTAACCTCCTATCACTTTTTCCTAGGGAGCAATTGTTTCCCTCCTACTTAAAATTACAAAATTCCTCTCCCCTAACCCTAGTGTTTCCCATCTCTCTTCTGCACTCTAAGTTCCTCCATAGCACCCATCACCATCAATCACACTATATATTTTAATTACTTATTTAATTATAGTCTGTATCTAGAGGCTGGCCATCTAAAAGTGCTTATTTAGTGAGCTGCTCCATCTATCTTTATAACCTGAGATATTTTTAATCCCCTAGCCCAGAGATAGGGATATATAAGGAAACCTTAGTAAAGGCCCTCTATTATTATAACCCGTGTACACTGCCTGGAGTGAAGAAATAATGCCTGATATCACACCATGTTTTCCCACTTGAAACATGGTCTTACTGACCCCTCCACCTGAAATGCCCCTCCCTCCATCTCATCTTGGCCTTTGAAATCCTTCTCTTCTTAGAGTAGCTGTCCTTTAAGACTGCCTCCACATTTCTTGTGTATATCTTAAGACTTTTAACCTGGTCTCTTATTATAATTTGCATAATTGTCTTAATTTCAATACTTTATCATAAATTGCACTGGTCATCTTTGAAACTGCCATACTAACAAATTGTCTCTCCAGCTATTTTATTTTTGGTGGGACTGGGGTTTGAACTCAGGGCCTTGCACTTGTGAGACAGGTGTTCCTATCACTTGACCCATGCCCCCACTCTTATTTCACTTTTGTTATTTTTCAGATAGGGTCACCAGTTTTTGCCCAGGGTTGGCCTAGGTCAGAGATACTTCTACTTATACCTCCTGTTTAACTAGGATTACAGGCCTGTATCACCATGCTGGTTTGTTGGTTGAGATGGGTGTCTCACTAGCTTTTTGCTGGGGCTGGCCTCAAATAGTGATCTTCCTGACCTCCTCCTCCCAAGTAGCTGTGATTATGGGCCTGTTCCACTACTCCTAGCTTTTGCCTCTACAATTTAATTGAATTTATATATATTTGATTCAATTAAGAGCAAATATAGCACTTCTAAAATGTTTATATTAGATAATTCAGAATTCTTATGTATTAATTAATGATTATATCAATAGTAGGATAAATTGTTATTGCTTAAAAAACAGGTTGTTAGTGGAAGTTTCAATACGGGTGAAATCAAGGGAAGGAAATATAGAGAAAGATGGTCCAAGATGAAGGAAATGAGATCATGACTGTCCCACAGGCTGAATAGCTGCAAGTGACAGTGACTCTGCTTTGTTCCAAAGTTGTTATTTCAGGGACAGGGGTTACTAGGTCTAGAGAAATGAGGTAAGACCAAGTTTAGAAAACAAAAACTACTCTGGGAACAACCTTAACATTTGGTTCTTCAACAAAAATTTCTGATATCATTAATAATAATGAGTTAGTATAAATACTGCAATATATCATTTGAGCTACTTGCACTTTGAGAGTATTTTGTACATGTAGGTGAGTTCAAGTTTTATCAGAAAAAAGGGAGAAGGAAGAAGGGAGAGGAAAGAAGAAAAGAAAGGCCAAAAGTAAAGCACTTTACTGTCATTTTTATTTGGACTGATTTTACTTTAACCAAATTTCAAAACACAGCTAATCTCAAACTCCCCAAACTTCTGAAAGAGTGGTTAGCATGAGGAAAATTGTAAACTGAGCAATGAGAATGATGGGGGAATTACAATCTTGTAGGAACAATATTGATAAGAGAAATCATTTGATACCATGAATGAATGTCATGGAGGTAACTGCAGCATCAGACCCAGACCCAGACCATCCCATGACTTGAAGTTCACTGTACTTAGAACAGGAATCTTATGTACTAGCTACTTGCACAGAGTGAGTGTCTGGGAACTGCCATGGAACTGTATGAACAAATTGAACCAAATATCAAATCAACCAAGAATTCATCAAATGTGTGCTAAATACTTTCCTCAAAGAAACCACCATTTTAATGATCTAAGCAGTTACCATTTAATTATAAATTTTAGAAAGAAAGAATTTGGGAGGCAACCTAGTTTATTTATATCAACAAAAGAGAAGCAGAGAGAATGTGTGTCTTAAAAAAATTTAAGATAAAATAAAACCAGAATCCTATTCTTCTTAAAATTCAGGTTAATATTAAATCAATTCCAATATAAATATAACTTACTTTGACATTTTCCTGCTGACAGAATATTTCTGAAAGAATACATATGATTCTTCTATGAGAGGTAAACTCAATGCCTAAGAATATGGGACTGTAAGTGTTTGGTTTAAATATTTTTCCCATTTAAAACTAAACAACAACACATTTTTCAGACTACCATGTGCTCGTGGAGTTTCAGCATTTCACAATTCACTTCAGGTTAGTTAATTTACCTCGTAAGACATTACACTGAATTATTTGATAATAAAAGCTAATAAAACAGTAGGCTAGTGCATATATTATCTCTAAGCCTCATAATACCATGGAAAAAGAACTAATGTGAGTTTATAAATATCTAAATATGCAACTAGATGATTTCACATGAAATAAATTTCTAGGCCAAAATAATTCTATTTTTATGACTTAGAATAGACATACCTTAATTTACTTAGCCAATTTGTTTAATTTAGGCCACATTTGCATTAATCACTTTCACTATTTGAAGCTATTTTTAACCAACTTTTTAAAGTTAAAAAATAAGAAATTTAAAACAATGGCTGTTGTGGAGACAGATGTGGGTATGTCTTGGCTCAGGGCTGACTAACAAGGAGAACTGCAGCAGATGGGCCTGGAAGACCCTGGTATTTCAAATACAGAAAGTGAAACTCCTGAGTATCTTCTTTGTGAAAGTGATTTAAAATACATAGACATAGAAATACAACACACATTAGCAAATTCACCCCTTCCCCTTCCTCATCATAGATTTTACAAATTAGAAACCAAAATCAAGAAATTTTAATAGAGTTTTCCTCTCATGGCCAGGGACAGAGTTGGGACTCTCACCAACTAGGAATCATTAACTCATTGTTATTTTATATTAATTGAGGAAAGTGGGTGGAGAAACTATGACAAACTAAAAGGCCATGCTTACTAAATGGGGAACAATCATGGGTGTCTAAGGTCAAGTACCCTGAAATATTCAGTTAATGCTCCACTCTGCACTTGAATTTAACTATTAGGAAGTTGTCTCCAGAAAGAAAAAAATTTGATTGCTTGGGAAGACATCTTACTTTTATTATTTTTTTTCAGCTAGTCTTTTCAGCACTATTGTCAAGATTTTATAGTCATAGGGAAAGTTTAAATTGCATGTGAATATTTTCACATGAGACACTTTTCTTGACTGTACAAAGCAGGAGGCAGCTACAGGAATATCATTTTCCCGAAGGGGAAGAAACCCATCCTAAAGCGACTCCACTGCCCACATCCGGAAAAGCGCACAAGGCAGGAATTCAAAATGCTGAGTGTCAAGTGAGGACAGGGAGCTATTGTGCTTCTAACTCCAAACCTTGGGGCTGGGGATGAGAACCGCTTCCTGGTAGAAATTTCTCGTTTCCTGTCTCCATCTCCCCACATTCTCTTATCCTGCATCATAACAACACATTCTCCTAAGGAAGAAGGAAAAACTCTTGTGAGGATGCAGAGGATTAATGACATAAAACGTCCATGCAATTTGGAAACATTCTACATAAAACCCCTTTTTTAGGCCCTTAACAGACTGGATGGACATAGAGCAATAGAGGACTGCTGGGTATTTCTGAAGCCACAGCTGAGTTTCTTTTTCTCAAGCGTCCACATTTCCCACCTCGTATACATGGAAAAGTTGTAGACTGTGTATTTTTAAAATTTGGAGAGGCGAAGGGCCATTATTTCCTGCTGAGTAGTGTCCTTTTCCTGGCTTCACAAACAAAACCCGGATGTAACGTGGAAACGAGGAAAAAAAGGGGGGGAACAAAAGTATAACTTTGGCCGTCTCTGCCCTGCGGGTGCTGAGCAGGGCCGGCGGCGCGGGCGGGCGAGCATCCCGGCCGCGGGCAGCGCTGCTCCGTCGGGTCTCAAACTTGACCTTGACGGCGCTCAGAGGGCGTGCGCGGCGCGCAGAGAAAGCCCAGGGCGGTGGGGGCGGTGGGGAGGGCGGTGGGGAAGGCGGGAGGCCGAGCCTCCCGGGAGCAGCGAGGACCAGGCGCTGGGCGGCCGTCAAGTCCACGCCCCGCCCGGCCCAGCCCGGCCCCGGCCCGGCCCGCACTGACTTCTCTTTCGGGAGGCGTCCTGGGTTGCAGCACTTGCAAGGGGCTCCACAGCGCAAGCCACCGCCACCCCTTGGCCCAGCTTTGGGGCAGACATGCCTGCCCTTCACATTGAAGATCTGCCCGAGAAGGAAAAGCTCAAGATGGAAGTTGAGCAACTTCGCAAAGAGGTGAAGTTGCAGAGACAGCAGGTAAGTGGGCTCACTCCAGAGACCTCCCTCTCTGAAATGAGCCAGGGTCAGCTTCTCCTGGCTTGTGCAGGAACACAAGTCGCTTGGTTTTCTTTTTGTAGCTTGAAGGAAGGCTTAGGCAGTGTCTGCAGCTGTTGATGTGGAAGTTATAGATGAAGGAGGGCAAGGAAGGATACAAAGCCCAATGTCCCCACGTTTTTCAGGGGTCTAGCATGGTCGAAACAGATAAAGAGATCCTGCCTTCTGTTGGACACATGAGTTTAAACACTCAGGTGTAGGGAAAAGGCAGATGGCTACTTGGTTCTGGACAGGATGGTGGTTGAAAGAATTTTCCTAAAAGCACATTTTAAAGTCTTCCAACTTCCCTATCTACTTTTGAATTTACCACTGGTCCTTAGTGATGTGCTAAGACAGTCCCCCAGGGCTCAGGGGCTAAATATCAGAATTAATTTCCGTTTTTATTTGTAAATATCATCCCTTTATAATTTCCAGTTTTTCTTTTTTAAGTATGTTTAGTGGATTAATACAGTAGTATCTGTATTTACTTACAAAAAAAGTGATTTTAAAAAAGTGCTTATACTGAGGTTATTCTGATTGCAATTAAAAAATTTTAGAGGCTGGCATGGTATGGTGGGACATTTCTGTAATCCCAGCAGTGGAGAGGTAGAAGCAGGAGGATCCAGAGATCCAGGCCAGCCTGGGCTACATAGCAAGACCTTGACACACACATCCCTCAAAAAAAGAAAAAAGTTAGAAAACACCTATTTCACAATTTCAGTGAAATCATAGGCCCCATACTCAGAAGTCACTGAAATTTAATGGAGGTTTTGTATTTTTTACATAAATTTCTTCCTTGATACTAGGAGGCTTTGTAAGACACCAATCTTTCTTCCATTTTCATTCAGTCAAGCAATCTGTAGTAGGAAGAGGCTTTTGGATAGTTTTTTGTTTTTTTAAGAAAGTTGTCCAGTCTTTTCTCCACAGTAGGAAAAAGTTGAACCTATTTATTCATTTTAATTTGGGAGAAGTTGATGGGGATGAAACTTAGGGCATGGACAGACTCCCCCACTTATCCCTCTGATTTTATTTGTTTATAGTTTAATACTTTAAAAAATTAAGAGAAACAATGGAAATGAAGCAGACACCATGACTCCTCACCTTCCCACCTTAGTTCTAAGTCTGCCATTGACAAGGGTCACTTCTCCTGGGTGATGATTAGATGTGGGTTTTTTGAGTTCTACTTTTCACACATTTCTTTTTTTGTAACCCTCCACTTCCTAATTACAATTTCCTGGTTTCCCTATATTTCACAGCAGGATGTACTTTACTTGTTGAGGGTTTTGTGCCTTTAAAAATGTCAATGTGTTTAAAGAAAATGAATATACAAGTCTCCATTAATAAGCTTCTTTCACCTATGGCAAAGCCCCCAGTATAGCAAGAGTTAGCCACTCAGATTTCTTCACACGATGAGTCTTAGGTGTTACATATTAAACAGAGTTGCGTATTCTGTGCAAAGTTAGGGAATCTTAATATTTGGTATCACTGTGCAGAACTTACAGGGGAGAAAAGAGACAAGTCCCTTCTGCCTTTTAAAATTTCAAATTAGCTATTAGGCAGAGTCCTGGATGCAACTGACAATGTAGAAATCAAACAGGCATTAGCAGTTTCTCCCTGCAAGCCCCGCTGCCCCCTAGGACACACCCTTTCCCACTCACTTTCCAACTTGTGAAACCCCAGGTTAGCTTAGAAAGGAAAGAGAAAATGTCATGGTTATCTTTGCCAGACACAGGGAGAGGAATCTAAGCCCAAATAATTTTCAGGCATTTTATTATACAGCATGAATTACAGTGTATTAATGCTAGGCAAACATTGTCACTCTTAGAGACCACTCAACCCTCTCACTTTGTCCCAGAGGCTAACTAGTTTCTCAATTATGACCACAGAGAGTGACAGGGCAGGTACTTAAAAATCGCTTCTCCTGAGTCCTGGTCCATTATTCTGTCACTCAATTGTTAACATCTGAGCTCAGGCCAAGGAGCAAATTCACAGGGTGCATTTGGCTTTGGCTGATTAATTGTTGGTCAAATGTGTCCTCTTGATCATGGAAGGAAATGTATCAGAGGGGCAATTATTCACTTTTGGAGACTACAGACCTCTTTAACAACTTAATGAAAAGGCCTCTATAAGAATAAATATAATGTGGGGGAATGTGAATCTTTTCCAGAAAATCCCTGGAGCCACAGACTCCAGGTTAAAGATACTTGCTTCATCAATTCTGACAATTCATTCAAAATACACACAAGAGGAGAGAGCAAATGTCCTCTGAAGGAATAATCCTGGAAGAGATTTTCTTTTGCTTCATTTTAAGTCATATAATTACATCACTCAAGTTTAGAATTTAGGTCAGTATCCTTTACACAGATGGGCAAAGAAGAGCCCTTTAGAGTATGTAAGTGAACTAATGAAACTTCTATTTTTGTTTAGTTTTAAATCTCATCCTTTTATAATTACCAGTTGATAATTGACAATTATACATGATGTAGGAACACTTCAGTGCCTGAACTTATTTATAAGTAAATAATTATGCACATTTTGGGACATGTAAACATGTTTTAGTGATACCCACTGAAAGACTACCTGTCTAGGTACTAAACTAGGTTACAAATTCAGCGGAAACACTTGCTCACTTTCAATAGGTCTCCACTAAAATTTGCTGGAGGTTCTATACTTTTAACTTCTAATTTCTTACTAGTAATACAGGCTTTTATTAAGACACTAAAACCTTTTTATTTTACTATTTCTTTTTCTTATAGGCTCACTCTTGAAATCTGCATCTTAAGGATAGACTTTTTGAAGAAACTATTCAATCCTTTCTCCACTTATAGAAAAAGTTTAAACATACAAACATAAGAGTCTGTTTGTAATAAGATAAGCTTAAAAACTTCTGATAAATCTTTTATTATGATCATTGACTTCAAAGCCAGAAGCAATTCTGAGTAGAGACAAAGGAATGAGATATTTGGGCAATGTCAGCCTTTCCACAGTCAGGCTTTTTTTAATGCTTCTATCATATGTGACATTCCAGAACATGGTACACACCTTTAATTGAGAATCGAGGTATGACATACCCCCAAATACTTGGAAATTATCTACTACTGCTCCTGCTCAGTATTATGGAAAATCGAAAGTGGAGTATGTTTTAGTTCCTAAAATATGATAGACAGGTCATAATTGTATTTAACAGAGGACGTAAGTCATATGAGGAGCAATGAATAGAAATTCTATTTGATACAGTGACTTCCAAACCTTTTTGACCTTGACCACAGACTGTATCATATATATGAACATTCAGAAAAAAACATTAGCACAGAGATTACATACATATAAATTTAAAAAATTTTAAAGCTGGTTTACTCAATTACAATTTCACAAAAAGATAGTGACAAAGTTTGAGCACCTCTGACCAAATTCATTCTGTTTTTCTCTTTCTATACGTCAGGTGTCTAAATGTTCTGAAGAAATAAAGAACTATATTGAAGAACGTTCTGGAGAGGACCCCCTGGTGAAGGGAATTCCAGAAGACAAAAATCCTTTCAAAGAAAAAGGCAGCTGCATTATTTCATAAATAACTCTGGGGAGAAATTTCATCCTCAGTGGAAGAGCAATTTTGTTATGTTGTTTTCCTCTAAATGAAACCAACATGCCTGTTAAGGAAGGAAAAGTGGAACTTAAAGAAGACTCTCTTAAGACTGTACATAATGTTCTACTCAAAAACATATCTGCTTCTCATCTTTGCTCATTATACACCCTTTTTAAGAGGGAGTAATGTACAATTATAGAATTAAGGATATTACTTACGCACGACTCACCTCTTTCAGTATATTGCTTGATGCCTCAAATAAAGTTTCGTCTTAGGAAAAAAAGTATTGGTGATTTTTATAAAGCACTTTTCATGCCCTTTTAGCAATATGAGTCCATATTTTTCTTCATAACCTTTCAAATGTTTGGGATATGTAACAAAAGATTAGTGGGTGTGATCTATCAGTTCTCCAACACAGCTCTCTCTGTTTCACATGTTTACAGAGCTAAGTTCTGACTTCTGGAATGTGTTTGATCTAACTTCAACTATTAGGGAACTAAATGGATAGAATTCTTAATAATGTTGACAAGGTTCAGATTATCTGAGTCAGGAACCAGGCCCAACCATGTCTCCATTAGGACTTCCTCAGTTTATTATCATTTAGATCTTGTTCAAAGCCTTCCTGCAGTAGTGGCCTTGGGAAAGGGACCAGGTTAGGAATCAGAAAGACCCCCCCCTCCTTGCAGTGCAGTAGCAGGCCAGCCCTGGCTTTTGGAGCTAGTCTTTTTGCCCACACAGTGCTGCATCTCCCATGTGCTCTCCAGGTCTCGCTTGATTCTGCTCCAGTTCTGTGGCATTGGGACAGACGCTTGGGTCTCTGCCCCTGCTCCACCAGTCCTTTCCAGCAGGCCGAGCTAAACATTCCTCTTTTCTTTCTCCTCCAAAAGAAGCAGAATCTTAACTGACTTTAGAACTTACTCTGACTTTTTCCTACAGATTTGTGGAAGTTCATATATGTATGTCATTCCTTCTCCAGGAGTAGTATGTGTTGCAAATGCCCTCTTCCAGTCATGGCTTCACTTTTCACAGTGACTTTAGCTTCAGTGGTTTTAGCTGGAGAGTACAACATACCAGATACAATGCCTGTTCAAGTCCCTTACGAACATACCTATCTATATTTAAGGCCTTGAGGAAAGGGACCTTTTTTCCTTTAACACCTTTTTTCCTCTTTCTCCACTATCTTCTATTTGTAAAATGCTCCAGGCTTGGAACAAAAGAACAAGCAAAACCTTTGCAAATCAGCTCTATCTCAAATACACTTAGTTATAATTTGTCCTGTGATTGTAACTGTGGCAACAGAAGCCCACATTTCTCCTCAACTAAATCTTTTCTCCCTCCTTAGACATGTAGGTATAACTCCCTTATTGAGCCAGAGAGGTGCCTGTGTCTAGATCAGCTTCCTAAAGTGTATCAGCCTCCTTGCTCTGAAATTCCTTCCCTTTTCCTCTCTAGAAACGAACAGGATACCTAGGCTTTTGCAAAAGTAATTACACCAAACCCCAAACAGGGACTATTTCCTTCAGTTTCCTGCCATTTTCAAAGTAATGACATCAATTGGGGTTACTTAGTACCCAAGGCTAATTTTAACCCAAAGCCTGATCTACTCTAAGGGAAGGTTTAAGAGTAGAAAAAGTAGGCTTCCAAGCACCGTATAACAATTAATATTTGGGGTACTAATAAGTCATTTAACACTTAACATGACCTGGGAGTTTAGCATCTTGGTACTTATAAAGTTTTATTTTAATGGTCCATTCCATTTTATTCAGTTATTAATTTTTCTTTTTTGCATAAGAAAGTAAATATATATTCTGGTTACTCGTAACACAGATGAAATCACCCATTTCCTCCACAGAGGGTCAAGACAGCGCATGTATCCCTCACTGCATGAGCACTGCGTTTCCCAGGCTGTACCTGATCTGTTAGTCACATGCAGCCATCCATTTATGCAAACCCCCAATTGTAGCTCTTGTTCTTCATATTTCTTTCGACCGTATGGTACATTAGTCAACCAACTTCTGGTTTTTCCCTAATAAATATCCAATCCTGTAGGAGTTTCTTCTAAATCTACACCTATTTTTTTTTTCATCTTCATAACTCAGCAAACACATAAATGTATAGTAAAACTACTTTATTTTTCAAGTATACAAGTGCTAAAAACTTAATAAGCTGCAATGGGAAAAAACATGGCAACTATGTATTTGAACATACTATAAAAGTAACAGTTAAGCACAATTTATTAAGTAGAATTTAAATCATGGGTTCAATTTCTTACAAGTATATACTTGTATAATCATTTGGTATTTGATAAAAATAGTTGCCATGTCTTGTGCATCAAAACTTAAATTCTAAGAACTAAGTTAGAAAAACAAAAGGACTTTTCTATTTCTAGACAGAATCTATATTACAAGCTCATCTTCATTTGGTATTCTAAGACAACATGTTTTTCATGGTACGTGAGAATTAGTATCAGTATGTATTTGTATTTCCTTGATTCCAGTGGCTTTTTAATAGTTTTTCATGTAGGTCAATTTTTTATTTTTAGCTTGTCTGCTCTCATCTTTTGCACATTAAAAAAATTAGTTCTCTTTTTTTTCCTATTGTGTTATAGGAATTCTTTATATATTCTAGCTATTCACCCTAAATGGGTAATACATATTGGGAATACTTTCTCCCATTCCATGGCTTAACTTTTCACTTATCTATTGGTAAGCAGAAGATTTTTAATTTTGTTATTTTTTGAAATATAAATTCATGAGAGATAGCAAAGAAATGTACAAGGAAATCTATTGCACTCTTCCCCTGGCCTCCCCCAAAGTTAAAATTTTTCACACTAGTATGATATTGCAACAATGAATAGTTAATGTTGTACAATCCACAAGGCTTGCTTAGATGTCATTAATTACACTTGTGCTTGTGTGTGTGTGTGTGTGTGTGTGTGTGTGTGTGTGTGTGTGCGTGTATCTGCAATTTTATCATGTGTACTTTTGGGTACGTATTACCACAAGATACCAAACTGAACCATCTCCAGAAAACTCTACTTCCTAGTGCTTTGCAGTTGTTATTATATATTTGCACCCATCCCTAAACCCTGGCAACCACTCATTTCTCCTCCATCTCTATAATTAAATTAAGATTGCTGGAGAAATTAAACCATGCAGTAAATATCATCTTGAGGTTTTTTTTTTTTTTTTAAATCACTCAGCATAGTTTCCTTGAGGTTCAACCAAGTGGTTTTGTGTATTAATACTTTAATTTTGGGGAGGAGTACTAGTGTTTGAAGTCAGGGCTTCCCACTTTCTTGGCAGGTACTCTTATTGCTTGAGCTGCTTCACCAGCCCTCAATACTTGAATTTTTATTGCTGAGTAGAATTCCAGACTAAAGATGTACCACAGTTTGACAATTCATCCATTGCAAGACCTCTAGGTTGTTTTTCTTTTGTGCTACTACAAATACTATGACCGTGTAGTTCTAAGAATATTCATGTACAGATTTTTGCATGAAAATAAGACCTCATTAATCTAGAATACATTTTTGGGAATGCATTTGTGGATTGTATAATGATTCATATTTAATTTTTAAGCAAATTTGCAAATTATTTTCCAGGGTGCTTAAATCATTTTACATTTCCATCAGCAATGTATGGGTGGTCCCGTTACTCAGTATTCTCATAAGAATTTGGTGTTAGTCATTATTTCTCAATTAGCTATTCTGATAGGTGAGCAGTAATTTTGCATTACGATTTTAATTTGCATTTCTCTGACGGTTAGTGATTTTAAACATTTTTCATGTGTTAATTTGTCATCTGTGTATCCTCTGATGAAAAGTCTACACAGGAATTTCACTCATTTTGTAATTTGATTGTTTAATAAACATTGAGTTTTGAGAGTTTTTATTTCTTATTTATTTATTATTACATTATTTTTGTGCTGGAGGTACATTGTGACATTTACAAAAGTGCTTACAATATATCATACTTGAACTCACCCTCTCCATCATTCTCCTTTATCTCCCCCTACCCCATTCCTGGAATACTTTCAACAGGTCTCATTTTTCCATTTTCATACATGAGAGCATAACATTTCCACTGCATTCAGCTTCCTTCACCCTTACCTTATATCCTCCCCTCTCGTACTGGTACCAACCTCCAGACGAGACCTGTTTTTTTTGCTGTTTGTTCACTGTTTTTGAAAAAAAAAAAAAGGGTTTGTTATTGTTGTTGTTGTTTAAGATAGCTCTACATGGAGTTTCCTTGTGACTTTTTCATGTATATTTCTGTTATAACTTATATTTGAAATAGAGATGTGATTTGATTAGAAATGTGATTTATAAATATTTCTCCTGGTTTATAATTTGTTTTTCTTAACATCATTACAGTTTTTTTCCCCTACACTGAGTACTTTTAATCTGATGAGATCCAATTGATTATTTTTCCTCTTATGGATAACACTTTTTGTGTTAGGTCAAAGACAAAATTCACACACTCATAGTACCAAAGACTTTCTCCTACATTTCATCAAAACGTTTTATAACTTTATGTTTCATATGTCAAGTTCATGATCCATATAGAGTTAACTATTATATGATGTATAAGGTTCATTTAGAGGTCTTATTTATCTATCTACTATTATTTGCTAGTGGATGTCTAGTTGTACTACATCATTTATTGAAAATGCTGTCAGCCCTCCATTAAATAGTTTTTGCTCTTTTGTCAAAAATTAGTTGAGCATATTTTTGTGGATCCATTTCTAGGTATTCTTTTTATTCATTTGTGTGTCTCTTCCTTTGCCAGTACAATACTATCTTCATTTCCACTGCTATATAGTAAGCAGTAACATCAGGACGATAGACCTCTCAAACTACTCATTTTCAAATCTGAACGGAAATTGGCTGAAACTATAGATCATTGGGGACAAAGGACATCTTCAAATATGAGCATGCTACATATCTCCAAATATTTAAGTCTTCTTTGATTTCTTGCATTGGTACTTTATAATTTTCATCACGTTTATCCTGTACATCTTACATTAAATTTTTATTTAAATAATGAATTTTAGAACAATTGTAAACTGTGCTACGTTTTTATTTTATTTTGATCGTATATTGGAATGCACTTTCTTGCTATTTGATTTTATATCCTGCAACCTTACTGAAATCACTTATTAGTTCTGTGAAGGGTTTTATAGATTAAGGTTCTCGTATAAAGTAGTAACAGTTGCAAATAGAGACAGCTTTATTATTTTTCTTCCAGTCTGTACTTTCTTATCTCATT